AAAAAAAAATCAGCTCCATTAGTGTACTACTGACTAGACGCTTATTTTATGCCATGGAATAAAATTTATTCCGTTGTAAACAAAATTTTTCGTTAAGAACGTTCTTAATATAATTTTTAGAACCCCTGTCAAAATTAAGTCTAAAAAAGTATGCACAACGCAGCCATACAGTGGAAAAAGCAACGTAAGTGCATAATTTTCGTTAACACTTTCGTTTCTCCAACTCAGCAGAATAGTCGTTGCAAATTAATATTTAATCAACGAAATCTAGCAAATAATTTTAGGAAATCGAGACTGCGATCATCAAAGCCTGTTTGATTGCTGGGAAAAACAGAGGGGAGTTATAAGACGGTTTTAAGAAACAGCTCCAAGTTTCAGCAGTCAATGAAACGGGTTTTTGGTTTTCGTCCTGCCTTCTTCATTTTTAATTATAACAAATTTATATAGCGTTTTTGTTTCTTCCTCTCTTAACTGCTTTGGCGATCTCACATGTTTATATATTATTTTTGACTTTATTTTTGATTAGTATTCTAAAAATATATATTAAGGGTGATGATTACTGAACACTTTGCATGTATATACGTATCTATATGTGTATATTCAGATGTGCATATAGCGTCTAGTGCCTAGAAAAAGGGTATAAATAGTTGATTAGAGTGGATAATTACTGTCGATTTGCTATTTTATTTATTAACTATTGATGAACAACCTATCCAACTTTGGTGGAATGATAAGGCTCAGTATCCGTGTAATTTTAAGATGATAAGGTAACTCCGGATTCATAATTTCGGCATAACTTCCTTTTTTAACGAACACTCAATTGCGTTAAATTAAGAAGAAAACCACGAAAAATTTACAGGGTTAGCTCGATGTTAGTGAGACTATAATCCATAATACATTTCCCTATCACCTGGGGGGGAGGATGTGTCAGCACTGTGCTCAGGAATAGCGTATGAATCAATCAGTAATTACCAGGATTCGAACCTGATTCTCATCTGTCCTAATCAACGTGAACTCTTCACAAAATAGTATATTACAGAAAACTCATTATATTAGTAGTGTTTTTTATATATTTTTTTATTTATTAAAATTATTTTTCGTATTCAAAATTGTAGGTACGTTATATAGTAATATATAATAAAAGTTTAGTTAGTTTCCATTATGAGTTTTAAATTTCCCTTAAACTAACATCTGCAAAGTATGAACTTTAAAGTAATATTAAAAAGTTAATTCTGCGAAATATTTTAAGTGAATAAAGCAGCTACATATCTGCAGCATAAAACAAGATGAATATTTTCCTTGGTTATAAATTTTCTTTTTTTAAAAAACGCTGTAAAACTAAATGGGCTGCTTATAATTCTATACCTCACTCTTGGATTAAATAAATCTACACGCCGCCCATTTACGATTATTACTCTCTCACGTGGTTTCATTTTTTATTTTTCCCCTCTTCAAAATTGCATTCTCTGCGTTAAATTTAATACATGAAGTTATTAGCCAAACCACCTCTTTTTTGTTGATAAGAATCTCAGATTGAGGCGCAAAATCGTGATCAAATTTGAAACTGGGAGTAATTAGAGGTAATCATTAATGGAAAGTTTATAGTTCTTTTTTTATATACACATATTTTTTCGCACTTTAATAACGAAAGAAAATAAAAAAAAACTTCTTTTAGTTCGTGTTTTGATTAATCGCAATCCCTTCTTTTCGACCAATCATGCAGAGGAAAATCAGCTTTAGTTTGTTTTCCTGCTTTAATAGTGCGCTTGCTGGAAAAATACATTTACAGATATTTTAATGGTTTGCTTTTGCATAACCATTACCTTAAATGTTTTTATTTGCTGTTCGTTTAATCTTTCAAGCAAGATTTTGTTTCGTATGAAAAAAAAAAATTTTCTTCCTCTATCGTGCTGAATCGGTAAATTGAACAGAGTATGTTGAATAAAAATTATGTAATGCATGGAGGTTTTAGAGATATCATAATGAGTTGACGAACAAAAATCGCTCACTCTTAAACAGGGTGCGTAGCGTTTTTAAAAAGTGCTTAAAGGTGCTTATTTTCGAATTTCGTTTTTTAAAAACCCTTAATTTTCTTTAGGTGTTTTTGAAAAGTGCTTAATTTTTCCTTTTTCAAAATGAGATTTTTCCTTTTTCTTATTGATTTTCGCTACGGATTATACAAAAAGACGCAGTTCACATTGTTCTATTCAACGTTTTCACAATTAATTCAACCCCAATCTATTTCGGCGTATTTTCAATCGNTTACCTTTAAATGTTTTTATTTGCTGTTCGTTTAATCTTTCAAGCAAGATTTTGTTTCGTATGAAAAAAAAAAATTTTCTTCCTCTATCGTGCTGAATCGGTAAATTGAACAGAGTATGTTGAATAAAAATTATGTAATGCATGGAGGTTTTAGAGATATCATAATGAGTTGACGAACAAAAATCGCTCACTCTTAAACAGGGTGCGTAGCGTTTTTAAAAAGTGCTTAAAGGTGCTTATTTTCGATTTTCGTTTTTTAAAAGCCCTTAATTTTCTTTGGGTGTTTTTAAAAAGTGAATTTTTTTCTTTTTCAAAATGAGATTTTTCCTTTTTCTTATCGATTTTCGCTACGAATTATACAAAAAGACGCAGTTCACATTGTTCTATTCAACGTTTTCACAATTAATTCGAACCCAATCTATTTCGGCGTATTTTCAAACTGTAGCGTATGAAAACGCCATTCGTTTTACATGATTCAAAATTTTAGGATTTTTGCCTAATTTTGCCAACCCTGCCTAATTATGATATTTTTTTTAAAGTGCTTAAAATCATTTTTTGAGTGCTTGAAAAGTGCTTAAAAGGTACTTATTTTTTTATAAATAATTTGACTATACACCCCGTGAAATAAACCATTTTATGTAAAATTATCGGCTGTTTTATTAATCATGTTTTATTAATCACTGAATATCATTATAAATCATTTTTAATAAAATACGTATATTTTACTATCCACTTGTTGGGAAAATAATTAGAAAACTGAATAGGATTTAGATGAAGTTTGAATTTAAAGAAGAAAAAAATTAATTGAAGGAAAAGTAAAATTTATAATGTATTGTAAAATCTAACTAAAACAATAAGTAAAAAATTAATTTTCAATTTAACTATTATTAAATTAAGCATTATGAAATTTTAAAAATTGCTTACTCAGTTTTAATAACTTTCACGGTGCGTTTGTCACAACGTTTAAAAAAAAAAGGAAACCTAACCGATCAATGAAACAAAAATAAAATTAATAGTGGATGAAAAAAAGGACTGGTCATATACACATGATACAATTTTTTCGCCTGCAACATTTAATAAGACTGGTAAAATATTAATAAAAAAATGTCCTAAATTTTTTCTGAATCTAATCTTTTTAATTTTTCGTATTTTTCATTCTTCAGTTTTAAATTCTGATTTTAGCGTATCTAGCAGAGTATGTGAGTTGAAAATACTATAGTAATAAGCCTTATTTTCTATTTTAGATTATATTTTTTCTTAGTACATTTTATAGAAAGGTACTTTAATAGTTTCTGGAATTTGCACTGACTAACAGACCAATACACAAAAACATCTTATAAGCTTCATGGAAATGATGATATTTTTCAGAGAAAATGCTTTCCTATTCTTATTGAAAATGTGGCTTATTATTAAAGTACCCTAACCACTACAATTTTAGTTTTAAACAAACAACTGTTTCGTAAATATCTAAAAACAGAATTTAATTTTTAAATTATTGTAACATAATAATATCCATTAAGATAAATTTGATGATGTTGTTTCTTATCAATAACAGCATTTTATTAAAGTCCGTGAATCAGCTTCAGAACTATAGAACTGCCGGCTATTCTATCAAGCATATATTTTAACGTATGGTCCGAAGTCACTCAAGTCAAATTACATTTATGACCTGATGCATGCTGCTTGAGTTAGATATAATGAGTTATTATAAAATTAGAAAGATATCTTATTACGATATATGCAATATAAAAACCTCCATGTTTTTTTATTATATTAATTCTTCGTTTAAAATCTTTTTCTTAATCTATTATTCTGAACTTTCTCATTATTAATGATTTATTTCTTTTTTAAAATAGATTTTTTAAAAAAAACACTAACATTTGTTTAGAAATAATTATTATGAAAAGTTTTCCCACAATGAAGTTATGATAGTGTGATATGAATGAAAACTACTTAAAATTCTTAATTTTCTCTTCGTTGCATGTGATTAAGGTATTATGGGGTATGTCTTGCAATGCATCATTTCACAATGGTGAATCAAGGTGCATAGCGTTTTTAAAGAGTGCTTAAAGGTTCTTATTTTCGATTTTCATTTTTTAAAAGAGAAACATTTTTCGTTTTTTTTTTCATTAGGTGTTTTTAAAAAGTGCATAATTTTCTTTTTTCCAAATTGAGATTTTTCCTTCACCATGTTGATTTTTGCTAAGAATTATGCAGAAAGACCCTGTTCACATTGCTCTATTCGACGTTTTCACAATTAATTCAACCCCAATCTATTTCGCCGCATCGTCAGACTGTAACTTATGAAAACACCATTTGATTCAAAAATTTTGACAATTGTCAAAAACAATGCCGAAATATTTTATTATTTTTTTTACATGACGGTTAAAACCAGATAAAACCGTCAATTGTCAAAAACTTTCCAAAACTGCTTAATTATGATATTCTTTTAAGTGCTTAAAAATATTATTTGAGTACTACTTGAAATGTGCTTATTTTTTGTTGAATAATTTGGCTACGCACCCTGTGAATGCAATCCCTAAATAATCCTTACTATTAAAATCAGGGTGTTCCGGATATTGCTCCGATTTGATTTTCTCTCACCATTGGGAAACGATAATATAAATCCAATTTTGAGTTTACTTTCCAGCTTTTCCATTGCCCCATTATTTGATATGTGTGTATAATAAGGTCTTATAAAGAGAATATGCATTTAATAAAGAAATTTATCTGTATAGGTCCTCCCGGTATGAACCCTATGAATCCTCGTATGAACGCTCCCAGAGGGCAGCCTCTTCCCATGAACCCAGGAGTAAGTCTTTTATGAATCATTATCTATTCTTTTCTTTTATTTAAAAAGAAGCTCTTTTTGTGAGAGATTTCCATTTACTTAAACCTTTGATATCTTACAGAGCAGTAAAAAGAAAATTTTTGATTTAAATGTTGTCTTGTTTCAGAATTATGGAGGTATGAGGCCGCCACCTAATAGTACTATGGGTCCTGGTGGACCATCCATGCCACCTATGTCTATGTAAGAAATATTTTTATAGCGTTTTGCATAGTTCAAATTTATTCCATCTCTGTAAATTAATATTTTCATCTCAGTGTGCGTGTTTTTAAATTGTGTGTAATTTTTAAAAATTGTTTTCTTTTCGTTATAGGCCTGGAGGTCCTGGTGGGCGTCCTTGGCAACCTAACACATCAACAGTAAGATCTTGTTTTTAAAATTTTGAAGTGAAACTTTTTATCTGTAGAATAAATACAATGATAGTAAAAAAAAAAAGTTGTTATTCACTGCCCTTACAAAAATTTAAGGTATTTTTGAGGTGTCAAGGTTGATTTGAGGTTTATTCAGAGTTGATTTCGAAAACAACCTTAAAAGATCAACCTCCCAAAGTGTATGAAGTTGTTTTATTCACACTTGAGGTTGTTTTGGGGCTGGTGGGAATCTACTTTAGAGTAACCAGCGTAGGGATGTTGTTTTTGAGGTGTACTGATTATTTTTTTGACACTTCAAGCAAATACGTATATGTGAGGTATGAATAATTTCCCCCGATCTAAACTAAAATTATTTCTGAGTTTTAAATGAGGTTGATTTCGTGTGGTGTAAATGTAGTTGAAATTGAGGTTTATTAGTGAGGTTATTTTTGGTGCAAAATATCACCTCATTTTCTACCTCAGACGTATTTTTTTATATCTGTTAACCTCAAAAACACTTTTTTTTGTAAGGGTGCTTAGCTTTTTAATGTAATTTATCTGTGTTTTAATTAAATATTATTTGACTTACAGCAATCAATACTTATTTCTAATCGTTTTAACAACTTTAAAAACTAAATGTTTTTCAACTTTAGATTATTTATTTTTAAAAAAAGAATATTTAATTCAAATGTTGTACAAAAAATTGGTCATTCCAGTGCTTGGTGCTTCAGTGTGTATCAGCTTTTGTTTTTGACAAACTGCACTCAATGTACAGTACTTTATTTTAAAATCATCTTATTCCAATTTTTGTTTATTTATTTGTTGTTCATTTTATAACAATTGTTTATTTTTGTATTTAAAATCTCCTTCTCTCTTTTAGATGAATTATTCTTCAGCATCGCCTGGAAGCCATTATGGGGTAATTATTTGATAACTATTGTATTTTAGAATACATCAAAACATATTAGTCAAATTCATAATTTTTTCTCTCTTCAATTTTTATAATTGTGGATACATTGTATGTTTTGTTGTTAGGGTCCTCCAGTATCTAGTACAGGTCCCCCTGGTCCCGGTACGCCTATAATGCCCAGTCCACAAGGTGAGAATTTTTGTATTTTTTAAAAAATTAATTAATAATGCATTTTTTCCTCCATATTAAGTTTAATTTTCCTGGCCAGCTAACCTTGCATGAAATTCATGTTTTCATTCACTGAGTTTCTTTCATTTTCAGAATGTGTGGAGCTACGCTTTTATCACCCTTTGCATTGACAACCCTGTACCTGAAATATTTAATTATGAAATTCACTCATTTGTTTATTTTTCATTTAACCTCTGGTAACTATGTAAATATACAAGGTGTTCTCTAACAGCTACCCTTATATTTCTAATTCGATAAGAATTAGTAAGCACTTAAATAGCAGACAATTGTATGCTAATATATAATTGTAAAATCCAGAGTGTAATTGACTTAACTATTCGTATTTGGGAAAATTTGCATAGAAATATATTCTCAATGCAGAACTTTCATCTTGGATAACCAGAACGAAAACTGGTGTTTTAGCACGAAAAAGAACAGATGAAAGAACGGTTTGAATTTTGCAAATGCTCAATTGGTTAAAGATCATTAAAAACATCGTTAAATTTATAATTTACAATCTTTTTCTTCATAGTTATTCTTCCAAAAGACGAAATTGCATGATTAAAGCTAAACTTAATGAAATTATAACTATATATGCATTTCTATGTTTCCTCTCCTTCAATCTGTGTTTCTACACTGAAAAACATTCTTCATTTTAGAACTGAAACTATATGTTTATATTCTAATCTTGGTGATATTTTTTTCCCACATTCTTTAGCTTCATCTAAGATCATTTATAGATAATTTCTAACAAATGGGATGTTTTTTTAATGCTTTTAATTTATCTTAATAATGATTTACCTAGTATGAAAATTAAAAAAAAAATTTCTGAAATAATAATTACAATAATAATTTTAGTGAATGATTCCAAAATATATTTCGATTAGATAGCACCTTGTATATTATACCTGATGTTTCATTGTTGTGGTTTTTATTACTTAATTTTATTGTGTTTTATATATATTGTGTTACAATTCCTGCCTTAATAATTTCTAAACCCAGAAAAGACATTCATTTTCTATTAACAATAAGTATATCCTACAATTTATACACAAATTTATGGAATATTTAAGTGTGTTTTTTGAAGCTCTTTTGTTAAAGAAAGTAAAGAGCTGCACATTGAGAATTTTAATTTGAAAAAAAATTCCTGAATTTTTAACTTAACTATTTTATTAAAAAGAATTTAATAGGCTTAAAAACAGACGATATTTTAAGAAGTATTAAACTTTATAAAAAGTTGCTAATTTGATGGATTTTTCTACTCAAATTAAAAGGGTTAAATAGTTAATTGGCTGATTTTTAACCTAAACAAAACAGTTGGGGTAACTTCCCTGTTAAATTAAAGAAGTAGGACCATAAAGGTTTTTTTTCCCGCAGGCTTCATAATGAACAGAAATGGGGCTCACTAAAGATTTTTTAAACTTAACCTAAAAGTTGTAAAAGACTTACAAAAATAACAGTTTTAAAATTAGCAGAAAGAAATTTTTATCTTCTTTTTTTATGTGACAAAAGAAGGTTTGAAGAACAACCTTAAATATACTTTAAAATAAATATTTTCCAGAATTGTTGCCAAATCCCAGCTTAAGATATTTTCTCATTGTCAATAATTTTAGACAAAATTACTCATTGTTAATTTAAAATTTTAAGGAAAAAAACTTTTTTCTGTTAAGCTAATAGGAAAAGACGATTGTTTAAAGTTTCTTTATCTATATGAATAAATGTTTGTTTTACTCATAAAGTCAATGGAACTGGTTTAATGTCTTTTTTATTATTTTTTTTATCCCATTCGGTTTATTTTGTGTCATTCTGAGTTGTTATTTTGTTTTGGAATGTTCCCCATACATGTACCAATCTGTTTGCACCATCTTTTCTGTCTCCATTATGTGTGTACTATATGTGTCTCCTTTTAACTTCTACTTTCTGTTTTGATGTTTGTTTTTCTGAGAAAGATTATGCAAATCAACCTTAAATCAGAAGTGTTTATTTATGTCGCCTTATATCTATGCCTTTGATGAATAGTAGGCTTATTTTCCCTCTTTTTATTAACTGAATTGATATCCTAATCCTAACAATTTTAATTGTAATCTTATTTAGTGCTCAGAAAATTAACATGGTTTAAAAACTCACATGAAGCCAAATGTAAGAAGATAAAAATTTACAGTTTGTTTCATTCTAAAATCTCTTAATTTATTCTCACATAATTTAAAAATTAGTTATTAGATTTGTTGTCAGAAGATTAGTTATTAGATTTGTGGAACTGTTAACTAAGAAAAAGTTTTAAACAGAAATAATGCTCTGATACTTGTCAAGCCCTTCCATTTGAAAATCTAAGCCTTAGCACTGATGTATGTTAATTTTACCCTCAATTGTTACTGTTGGTGGCCAGTTTTCTTCATCAGCAGTGCCATCTACTGACTAACTTTGTTAGTTGTTTTGAAACTTGTTGCATAAAAATCAATTGGTTCCTTAAAATGAACGTAACAAACTGTACATTACTATTTCTTCACTTTTTAAAAAAAAATTATTTTTCAAACTATCAGTCATTTTAGGGGATACCCAATCTGTGTTAGAAGGTCAAAAAAAAAAAAATTAAAGCCACTTTCCAAGTTCTTCACAACTTATTAAAAAAAATTGATTTCTGCAGAATAATATAAGACTGCCAAAAATATTACATTTTTTATTTTTATTTTATTTTTAATTAAGCAACAAAGGTTTAAAAAGAAAAATTATTCATTGGCAAAAAACGGTTCAATTGCAAAAAATATCATTAGATAATTTTTTCCTCAAATAATTCTATTTTATTTAATTAACCTTTAAATACTGCATTATCTAATTTAACACTAAAGTTAATGCCACTGGCATTATGCTGTTAAATCTTATTCGCTATTTAATCTGCATGAAATGTATTTAAATTGATTTGTAAAATACTTTTATGAGTCGGAAAATATTTTCTTAAATGTTGAAAATACAGTATTATATAAAAGATAAACATAAGAAAACATAACTATTTTATTTTCATTAATTTCTGTTATAAGTTATGTTCTATTATATGTTAAATTCTGTTTGTTTTATCTGTTCTATACTGTTTTTCTACTCATAAATATTTAAAAAAAAAAAAACAATACTAAGGATGTACTCTGTCTTAGATCACTTTAAAATGTAGATTTAAATTAAGGATCGCTAGTTTTAATAAATTTATCTCTAAAAAAAAAAATGAAAAATTTCGTTCAACTCTGAAATGATAACGTGGTTGAAAAGGTTGTGCACCTTATTTGCTGCTTAAAAGATATCATTTCTTAAAAATAACGTGTGTACAAAAGGTCTTAGAAATATGAATTAACATGATTAAAGGAACCAAATTTTAGATATTAAATTATTGTATTTGAATTGCATTAAGTAAAGTAATATATTTAAAACCGTGCATTTAGTATCCTTATTTTGAAACTGCTATGGGGAGAAAGCTTTAAATAATTCCAAAATTTTATACATATTGGAGTTAAGGGGTGGCTCTATTACCCCAAGCCAATCTGCAAAATTTGTGATTTTTTTTTAAATAATTTTTTTCAACATTGTTATTTTCAATTTTCACCATTTTTGTCTTATTTAGGGAGCAGAAAATATCAATCCAGAGTTTTAAGATTCTTTAACCCGTCCTACTATTCAGCTTTTGTAGACAAGATTTTAATTTGTATTTATTTTGAGTGAAGGGGGGGATTGCTTTTTTCAAGCTAACCTTTAACCCTGAATAATTAGAGAGTGAGGAATCTATTTGCATAATCTTTCAGAGTGGCTCTTTGCTGCACAGCTGCATCCTGTTGTTGAGAGCTACTTGCCTGCTTTTTTTCCTGCACTTATTTCAAGCTTCATGTATTGTTTTTAGGTTCATCAGGTCCTTACTCCCCTGCCAGTCACCGAATGAACACTTCTACGCCACGAAGAGGTGAACATCTGATGCAACACACGCAATGTGACATGCATTGTTTCCCCTTTCCTCCTCTCTCTCTTCTTTTTCTTTTCATTAACTCATCTCACTTTTGGTTCTTTTTCTTATCTTTTTTTTTAATTTAGTTTATCTCACCCTTCCTTTTCATTCATCTTCCTTCAAATATCATACAGTGATTGTCAATCATTCAGAACTATTTTATCTCTGAATTATTCAGTGTGAAAAGAAAAAAAATGACGTAATAATTATTACAGGCGTGCATGCAGAATTTTTTCGAAAACTGTACGAAAACTAATAATTGGTGCCACGGAGTAGCTGACCAATAAGGCCACCTCCGTAAATGATTAATTAAATATTAAATCTAAGGCCTATATTATTGAAATTAGTTGATTAATTAGATTTGTAGTTATTGAGCAATTAATACCGTTGAAAACTGTATTCCATATCCAACATAAAAAATAATTTAATCTGGTATATTATGAATAGCAATTTCTTGCATAATTCTGTGGGGAGCAAAAACTCATATGAATTAAATTTATTGAGTATTAAGTGATTATAATCCTTTCATATGTAATTCTGCTATTAACAAAACAAAGCAACAAAAAAACTAAATTTTTTTGAATTTAATTTTATGTTTTTTCTTAAGTGCTGTAAATTAAACTGAATTGAATATTAAATACTAATAATAATTTTATGTGTAATCCTTTAAAAAAAAATACAATAATTTAAATTGATTGGAATACTAAATACGAATGATTAGAATACTAAGTACGAATACTCTACAAAAAAAATTCATAAATTTAATAATAGTAAAATAAGCCATAAATAAAAGTTGCCAACAACAATTGAAATGTAATTCTGCAGAGTATAAAAATTACTATAAATTAAATTTAATTGAGTATTAGTTTATTATCACTTCGTACAATTTAATTTTTAATAAATAGATAATGAAACTTTTTGTCTTGGAAAGCAATTTCTTTTTTTTGTTATAAAATGATTCATTTTAATCTTTTTTATGGTCATAACACATGCATTTCAACTTATCATTAAAAACCGAGTATCATAAATCGGATATTTTTAGTATAATTTCTACTGTTTTAATAGTAAGCTATAATTGAAAAACAAAAACATTTATAAAGTTTATTAAATATAACAATATAAATGTATAAATAACTACTGTCATCGGCATTTCAGATATTTCTAAAGTTTTTCAAATGGCGAGGAATTCGTGATTTTTATATTATTTCTTTTTAATTCATATTTATTTATTTACTTTTTTACAAAATGAAATATAATCTGAGATATTTCTGTTTACATTCATTAAAAATTGTTTATTTTAATTATGTGATGAAAATACTTTCAAATGATTGACAATTCTGTATTGATAATGTGTTTCCATTATATATGGTGTTGTCATGTTTTCAGCTTTGTTTTTTAACCTGCATATTCTGATACCCATATCACTAATCAATGCAGTTATTGCCTTTCAGCATTTGGTACATTCTGCCTGATGGCACTCTAATCTACAATTTTTTATATATATATATTTATTTGGCTTATAAACAGGTTTATGAAGGTGAAGGTTTGAAAGGTGATAACTAACTCTGCATGCAGCAGTTAAAAATATCATATTTGGCAGTGCTTAGCATTTATTAAATTAATTTTATGTTTTTGCATGGTATTATTGTTATTACTAATATGTTTGAGTAATATATCATTATATGTTTGTGTTATGCTCTGCTTTCATAATTACATTTATATTGCTTCTTTTTTATTTTACATTTGTTTGTTGATTCGTGAAATAAATTTTTGCTTGAATAAATTATTTTAACTGTGATTTTCTTCTTTTTTAGATTCTACAAGTTCTGGTGGGGAAAGTATGTATGCAATGATGAAACCAGTTCCGGGCGGAAGCCTACCAGGGGTAAGTTAATTTTGAGTTAAACAGTAATATTGTTTTTTAATGCTAACACTAGGTACTATTAATATCAATTGTAACACGGGGTTATTAAGGTGTTAATTTGCAAAATGGGGGGTTCAACTGCTGAGGTGACAAAAGTAATTAATTCTATAATTTGTTACACATATATTGTTTTTGGGAAATGGTAATGTTTATGAGCTATCGTATAAAGATCAACAAAATCTAGGATATATTATGGTTTTTTGAATTTTAAGCATTTTTAGTCTAATTACTTCAATTTTTATTGTCTTTGAGGTAACAGAGCAGAAGATATCAGTTCCAAATTATAAGATTTGCATGCTTTTTTATCATAGTAATTAAAGTTGAGAACTTTTACGCACAAAAGTTTAAATACTTTCACTTTTTTGCTCACCCTTATATAAATTATGCAGCCAGACCCTTTCTCTTGAGATATGAGACGATAAATCGATCACTTTTTTAAAATTAATACTATGTTACGAAGCTAATTTATTTTCCTATTAAAGTAGGGACATGCCGTGTTATTATTTTTTTCCTTGGAACTATAATTAGGTTTGATATTAGCAAAATAAAAAACATTCAACTAACTTAAGAAATGTAATATTTTTACTTGTAAGAAGTTGGCACATTTTAAAAGTACATAATAGTATGTACGTTTTATCCGTTATTAAATTTTAAATTTTTCAATTCTATGACTGAATTACAGATGTGACCTCAAATACTTCTTATGATTTTGATTCATCTTCAGAGGTGCAGTTTAGCTAAGCCACGCCAAAATAATGTTCCTTAATTATATTTACTGTACATATTTAAACATACTGTACATAATTACATTTAAAATGCATAATGTGATAATGAACTTTAACTTTTCTTTAGTCTCCATATTCTTTGATCAAAAAGTATTGAAAATTCAATGTAATCTTAATAAATTAAAATGAAGTGTGCATTAGTTAAGGTCTCAAAAAATTTCAAATGTTAGTAATAAGCATATTTCTTTCACATTATTCTATATATATAATATACATTATTCTATATAGTTCCCAATGGGACCAGGACCAGAAGGACCAATGGGATCTATGGGACCAGAAATGGGTCCACCAGTCATGAATGGAATGTCATCTGCAGGTAGATATATTCTCGCTCTGCATATTTATTTTTTTATTCTTTGTTTTTATGTGTTATTTAAAACATGATATAAATTATTTAAACCAATACTTGCATAAACAGGTCATTTTTATAGTAAATGCATTGTATCTAGCGTGTTTAAAAACTTGTTGATTCAATTTAAAATTGAAAAAAAAAAAAGGCTGTAATTGCAATTTTTCTCGGCCAGAAAATTAAAAGAAGAAAGGCATATTATTTTTTACGGAATTTTTTTTTCCTTTCTAAATAAATTAATTAGCAATGAAACAAGGTTGAAAGCTTCCTCAGTATTAGTTAGTTCTTATTTGCTATTTTTTGTACTTCTATTTTCTGACATTCTTACAAAAAAAAAAAAAAAATTCTAAGCTTTCATAATGAGTTGCTAAAAGATTTCTGTGAATAGCAAAAAAGAAAAAAAATTACTCATCAATAATTAAATTCCTTTTAAAAATGTTCCTTGAAAATTCATTTACCTTCTTTCACTAAATCTCGTCATTATACTTTTAATTTATCTACCTACTTTTGCTTTCATTATATCTTCATTGCGATAAAAACTTTAATATTTTTAATTAAATAGTTGAATAACTAGCAAATTATATAGTGATATAATTTATTTACTCATAATTTTAAAAATTTTCAGGTGATACTTTAGATGGCATGAAAAATTCTCCAGCCAATGGACCCGGTACACCTAGGGAAGAAGGTCCTTCTATGGGTGATTATGGTATACCTGGTTATGGACAAGAAAATGTAAGTTAACAACTATATTCCTAATAAATTAATTTAATTGTGTTTAATAATTTTAAATGTTGCAAACAAATGTTTCATTGTTAAATGATAAAGTAAATATGCTTAGAAAAATTAACTATAGAGATATATTAACCCCATGAGTGTAAGTTCTGCCTTTTCTGACGCCGTCCTGTTCCAAAAACAGATTTTTTCCATATGGTTTTCAAATTTTGCCCTGGGGCTTAATACTTTGACGGTCAACTATATATGACTTTTTCCATTATTTTTTATTATTGGAGATTTAAAGCTTCAATTTTGCTCTTAAATTTATGCTATAATGGACAAAAAGATAATTTTTTTTTTTTAACGAAAAATTTAGAAGATAATAAATATTCTAATGAAAATAAGTATGTTCTACCATTTATTGTTATTATTTTTAAATTTTTCCTTTGGAAACACTGTATTTTTTAAACATTTAAATCTAAATTTACTTAAAAAAGTAAATTCATTTAAAAAAAAAACATAATGAATTATAATTTAGAAAGGAAATAAGTTACCAGTGAGGAGTTAAATAAATAATTTAATGATGACTTCTTTGAAGTACTTTAAGTATTCTATTTCAGGCTGCAAAATTGGAGTACAATGGTAAAAATGTATGTTATCTGAATGCTGTTACATTATTTCTTTTTTGAGTGTTTCAAATTCAAGTCCAGATATGTGTTCTCACTTTTTTCCATCAATCTAAATAAAAGAATAATTTTTTATTGCTATCATTTGCATGTCATTTTACAGAATTACTCCGGTTTTTAATTTGAAAAAATGCTTTACTTTATTTAGGCATGAGATAATTTCTCAGATCTACAATTTTACTCTTTATTTCCCCCCCCCCTTTTTTTTCCCTAAGTTTTGTCAAATAAATTTTCAATTTTTTGTTGTACTTCTGAGAATCTTGAAAATACTTGTGAAATTTTTCAATAAGGAACTTTTCAAATTTTATAAAAGCTAACCAAAATCAACATAAAATCCTTGTATTGTTCAAGCAATTTGATTTTTCACTATTTTGATTTAAGGAATTCTTCACCAATTAATTTTTGTAAATTTTCAAGTTTTGTCAACTTAAGATTAATCAGTTAGTTTATTTAAGTCTTTCTATCTTATGTTAATAGGTTTATTTTAGCATTTATTTAAAAAATATTTACTTACCTTTCATTATTCCAACAGTAATTAAACATTTTTCGGAAGCTTATTTTATGACTATCTATGAATCTATTAATAATGAATACCCTCATTAAAAATTTGCGATAAGTTATTATTATATAGAACATTACATTTGATACTTTTTACGCTATTCAGCATAGAAACAAAAATATTATTCGTTAATAAACTTGCTTCACAGACATGTTTTTCAATTATTTTGGTAAGCATTTTTTCTTTTTTTCGCTTCTTTTTTTTCATCTCATGCCTATTTTTATTTTCAATTTTATTTAGAACTGCAAAAAGCCTGAATATATATATATTTTGCATGTTATGTTATTCCACTCTTCTCGTCATGTTTTGATAAAATATATAATTGTATATATCAGGGGTCTGTCTAGGTTTTTTTGATAGGTACCTATTTTGTGAAAATTAAAAATTATATTACAAAATCAAAACAAAAATATGGTAAAGTAAGAAGATATTTTCAAAAATTGTCACTATAAAAAAAGAAATCATTTATGATCATTAAATTTTTATACATTTTTCTCCATACATTCGAAAATAATTTTGCCATTGTAAAATTTTGAGCTTAAAATTGTATCTAAATTTAAAAATCCATAAAAATTATTGTCCGTTGATAAATTTCAACTTGAATTTTTAAAAAAAAAAAAAAAAACAGGCATCTAACAGTATTTGCACTAAAAGTTATTTTCATTATGAGAACATTTCTCATGAGGTCATATAGAAAAAAAGTTTCACAGTGAAAAAAAAAATTTCATAAAAAGATAAAGGTCTGTTAGGACAATATTCGAATGTCAATTTCCTGTAAAGTTTACAGAGCGATCGCCTCGTCATTAAAAAAAAAGAAAGAAGAAGCCCGCTATTATATGGCGTAAGCGACTGGTTAGGCTTACCACACCTCACTATCTGACCAAGCATGTACTACCTGTTCGTATATGCGGAATTTACCCGTGATTTATCATTTCTTACGGGGATACAGAAACAAATTTTAAGAGGTGAGGAGGAGAATCTTCGAACTTTCTTTTTTAAAAGCATTTTATGAAACTACCGTTATTCCTAAAGTTGAATTTGTGAAGATACCGCTAAACGGTATTAAATTTGCCCTGGACAGACCCCTGTATATATATTTGTTAAAAATGTTTTTCTTAATGTAAAAACACTCATTAAGAGATTTTGCAATATGTTTTCAAATTAAAAAAATATTTGTAAAAGCATTTATAATTTATGAATTGTTACTTGTTGTGGTATTTCCATTGTTGTGAAATTTAGACAAATGCGGTAGGACACTTGTTATTATTTGGTTATTTTTTAAACATATCATTTTGTCATGCCTTTTTCTTATTATCATTACTGTGTAAACTCTACAGAACTATTTATATTGTAATGGATTTTTAAAAATTAAAACAAACAACTCTAAAATTGAAGAACAGTTTTTAAAAAAGCAAGGAATTTTTTTTTTATGCACCTAGGCAATTTTTTAATTCACTTTTGCAATTGCACTACAAGTGCAGTATCAATATTGTCTTTATAATTTCTACCATGTGTCTTTATGTAATGCACTATATCTGTTTAATGCATGATTACAACAAAAATTTACTAAAAAATTTATAACAGTTATTAAATGTTATTTAGAAAAAAAGTACTAAGTATAAATTCTTATTGGGTATGTAATGTATAAAGTAAATTCATGTTTTATCAAATGGCACAAAACTGAATGTTTCTAGAACATAAAACTGCAATCAGAAAATCATTAAAATAATAATAAATAAAAAATAAAATTTTGTACAAAAATAAAATATAAAAATTCTGTAATAACTTTATTGGCTAAATAATTTTATTAATATTAGCTTTTCTCCAGATATAAAAATGATTTCAAAGTATATTTATAGATTTTTGATCAAGTTTTAATATAAATTTTAGCTCATATGTTGTAGTGTATTTTCCGACTGTGTTATGTTCTAATAAATATGTCAGTCTCCAATCCACTGATCTCTGAATTCTATTTCAATAACAAGTTTAAGTTAGAATATGGGAATGGTTTATTTATTAAACACTACTTAATTTCAGTGCAATTTGATTTTTTATTGGTCCCTTATCAAAATTTAGTTAATGAATTTATTGATAGTTTCTTTTTTTATTTTCAATTCATCGGCTGAATATAAACTTAATTTGCAAACCATATTTAAAATTATGTATAATGTAAGCTATATTTTTTTTTAATTCGCACAAAATTTGTCAACAGCTTTTGAAGCTTTCAGCATTACCGGTTAGTGAAACACATTTTAGTGGGGGTATCATAGCTAGCAAACCATACATCCCTATTTTCTTCGGTTCTTAGTAATTTGATTTGCAACTCCATTGATCATTTTTATGGCAATCGTTATGGGTTTTAAATTTTTTTGTTTATCAATAAAATTACAGAATTTTCTGATGAGCCTGCTTTTGAGGTGGACTTATTATACAATTGTCCATTCAAAAAAAATTTTTTATTGAATCAGCTGCTAAAACTGGTGTTTACGTTTGTATTATTTTATGATTATTCCTGTGTTCAATTAAATTTATATNCTGCTTTTGAGGTGGACTTATTATACAATTGTCCATTCAAAAAAAATTTTTTATTGAATCAGCTGCTAAAACTGGTGTTTCAGTTTGTATTATTTTATGATTATTCCTGTGTTCAATTAAATTTATATTTTATTTTCTGCATAATTTTCTCTCAACATATTCAACATTTTTTTTGTTTAGAATGTATAGAAACAAATAATACATAAGTAAAATATCATTCTTCTATTTCTAGGATCAGAATGAATCAGCGGCAATACTAAAAATTAAAGAAAGTATGCAGGAAGAGGCAAAAAGGTTTGAAAAAGACACGCCTACCGAACATCCTGACTATTTCATGCAATAACTCATATTTGAGTACAAGTCATTGGGACTCATTAATTATGTAGCTGTTGAAAGAAGACTAAAAGGCTCCAAAAAATGTGAACGAAAAGCGATTCAATGGCGCTTTTCTAACACTCACGTCACATAGGGGGAAAATTATACAAATTAAGTTGACTCAATCAGATCCTTTTACCTTCCACTTCTTGTATAGAATTATGTTGTTTCTTGTGTTTGTGTGCACCTGCCCCCCTCCTTCTCTCATCCTGTAAAGTTTAAAAAAAAAAAAGCAAAATACACTGAGAAAACTTAGTTTTTTCTCACTTCCATTTGTAATAAAAACAACAAAAAAAGCTCTCCTTTCTCTTATCTTATCACTACTCTTTTTTGTGATGAAGAAAAAATGTAAGATAAAATCATAAACATTGTAATATTTACATTCAGGAATGCATAAATATGTATTTTTATCATTATCATTGTTTACAAAACAATGACTGCAACGTGTAATACTCATCTCCTCTAGTAAGCATTTCGTCTCTTGTATTCATGGCATTGTTGGACGCATTTAATATGTACAGAGTATTCTACATCGCTGACTATGCAAACAAAGACCAAAGCGCCATTTTACTGCCCCCTCCCTTTTTTTTCCGAAACTGATGTGATGTTTTCCAGTGGATTTTAAAGGATGTCGGACGAGACTATCAACTTTAGTGTTTGATTATTGGGATCAAGTTTTTTCATATAAAATGTCTAAGGACTATCTTTTTTCCATTTGTACTATTGCTGCTCAGTATTGTTATCTATAAGTCATATCATTCATTGATATAGCTTCATTCATAGATTTGAGAACGAAAATCTACTGTTAACCTGAACAAAAAAAGAAGAGAAAATAGTGAAGAAGTTAACGTCTACCTTAAAAATATTTTTTTTTCCTTTTAAAGTTTTACTTTCGTTGTGTTGAATATATTTCATACGATCACCTCCCTTTTTTATTTAAATTTTTTTTTTTTTAATTTTCAAACACTAAAATGTGTTGTAGATGTTATCAGATTCAAAGCCTGTTTATGTGCAACATTCTGTACAAAAAAAGATTATATCTTATAGTTCTTAGAAACGAGAAGAAAAAAACTATCCAATAAGAGCTATATTCGTAAACACATTTCAAATGTCATGTTTCATCATGATAATGCAAAAATACACCCGTGCATTTTGTGACATTCCGAAATCGCTGACCAGGCAGGTCTTGGAAAAGCAAATGCAGTCTAAAGATTGCAATTGACAAACTATATAATAAAAGAGTTACTGAAAGCCCATTGTTTAAAAGCAAAAAAAAGACTGATATAATGGAAGTGTTCACGATTTTCTGTGACCAAAAAAATTTGTAAATATTATATATCCGAGAGTACTGTGTAACTGAGTAAAATGTGCTGGCTAGAGTTTATAATGATTTTCATTCCTTGTACATTCAACATACTTCTTTGAAACATGGTTAATGCTTTATTTTAAGTGTGAGTAAAATTCCAGTATGAAATGAATGAATTACTTAATGAAATGTTGACTCTTTTTCATGTAAATAGAACTTTTTAAAAATAGTTCTTTGGAAATAATAGAATTTTGAAATATTCTTGTAAAAGGTTTTAAAAAATTGTGTATCGCAATATCTCTAAAGAATAATTTTAACTTTTAAAACTATTCGTCCGAACAAAGATTTAATACATTTAAATGTTATTTGCATGAAGGTGTTTTTTTTTTTCCCTGGATAGAATAAAATTGAATTTGCTTTTGATTTTAATCAATTTAAAATTTAGGGGTTAAAAATTGTTTAAAAAATAAATACCATCTATGTATCAGTATTTGTTATTTATAAATTTATGTAAATTAATAATACTTAAATTGACTATGTTAAATAGATGAATTTTTATATATAATATGTAACAAGAGTTTTGTTAACTAAACTTACTTATAACTCAAGGATTTATTTTAAAAGCACCTTAATTGTTCAGAATCTAAATTTTAATTATATTGTTATTGTCTAAATAAATCTTTTTATTGCGTGTAGAATTTTTTATTTTAAAAAAACAGGACTTTTTTTTTACTAATTTGTTTTTATTAATGTAAATTCATAAAGGAACATCTATACATATAGGATGGGCAAACTTAGGAAAACTATTCTTTCTGCAACATTTTAAAAAAGCATTTTTTGTTTACTTTTTATGTGAAAGTTAGTTTTTTATTCATCATTACTAATGTTTTCATAAAAAAAGTAATTTTTAAATTGTATTTACAATATGAATAATCATGAATGAAAGATAAAAGGTTACACAAAATACAATGCTTCAGAAGATTTTAACTTTTTTTTTAATTTCATATAATTAAAACATAATATTCATTGACGAATTCATACTGTTTTGAATAATCAATTATATATTTTTTTTAAAAAAACCATAAAGTAATGGTGAAATACAATATTTCTATATTTTCAGGATAGTTTAAAATTTTAGATGGCATTTTTTTTTAAACAATCTTTTAAAATAATTCAAAATTTCAAGGAGCTTGTTACTTTCAAAAATTTTATAGCATGAAACTATATTATCTGTATCGATTATAACGAATAAAACACCTAAAACCTGCCATAGGAATTAGGTTTTCCTCAAAACTTCTAAAACATTAAGGATATCCTGGAGTCTTTTTACTTCCTCATCTCCTATTTTAATCTATAGAGAATTATATAAACAATTCCACATTTATTAAGTTGCTAATTAATATTTTTTTATTTCATTTTATTCAATAAAATGTATTTTATATGACTTAATGACAGAATTTTAATATTTTAGGAATACAGAATTTTAATTCATTTTATTCAATAAAATGTATTTTATATGACTTAATGACAGAATTTTAATATTTTAGGTTTTTTTTGTTTTTTTTTTTAAATTTTTTCTAAATATAAGGTTCAGACCTTAATTTTTAAAGTTACCAACAGTTTTTAGTAATTGCTAAACTTTATCAAAACTAATTTAGTAGCTTAGAATTTTTATTTATTTTTTTTTTTTAAATATTCAAAAGCTAGAATCTGTTAACTAAGTTCTATAAAATACATTTGAAGGAATGAACGAAGCAAAAAAGAAAGCCCCAAAATATTAACTAAAGACTTAATAGGAAACTTGTTTTTATATAATCCTCTATTGCAGTGGTTCCCATAGTTTTCACAGACTACCAATTTTAGAAAAATAAGAAAAGAAAAATTTTGAATCCCATCAACTACTAAATATAGAATATAAGGACAAATAGACACCTATTATATAGGAATGACGAATATGTACACTTTTTTTTTATTGACTACGGGCTATGGAGAGCTTTAGAATGACGCCACATCTTACTAAGACAGTGAATTGTCCCCAAAAAATAGACTCCAAGATTTATCATGACTTTGATTCTAGACCAGCATCCTTGACCCAGAACCACCATGGTCTACAGGTTGGGGACCACTGCTCCATAGGTTAACATATTAAGAGGACTGGAAAGTAATGTCGTTTCGTTGTTTTTATCAAGATTTTATTTTTAATCAATAATATATTCACCATCATTAGCAACAATCTTTCAGTGCCGGAGCGGAAATGGATCGGGAAAAGATTAATCGATTTTTAAGATTGAGGAATATTTAATGTGCCGAAACGACATTACTTTCCGGTCCCCCTAATATAAGAAATCTAATTTAACTCCAAGTCACCCTTAATACTTTAAGGTTTTCGGGCTATTCAATAAATGAAGTTTTTGTGGGCCTTATACTGTTATGAAACAATATAGCAATCGTCAGGTCGATGATCAAAAGTTTATAATTTTGTGGACTGTACATATCATAAAATGTTCATGTTTAGCTTTAGAAGAATACCAGTGCCCTCTTACGATGTACATACTTTATACATAGAAAAAAATTTTAAATGATTATGAATCATTCATACTGGAATATTCCTCGCAGCGTTGTCAGTTGGAATAACTAGAATAGACACAAATTTATTGCCAAGAAATAAGTACATATATAGAAAACTGCTGTAAATGTTGCCGAGAGAGTGACATATTTTATAAAGAATATATCCTTGTACAACATGATCATTCATTTGTATTGCTCACACATCACAGATTAAAGAACTTTTAAGAAAAACAAAAAAAGGAGATTTTTAGACTTTCTGAACCGTAGGTTCATATTAGAGGTCTTAATAGAATGTAGCTTGATAAAGTAAATTGTTACGAACACAAAACAAATGAAATATTGCCTTGTAATTTAAGTTTAGAGGGAAAAAATTACACTTAAGGAAATGCTAGTTACTTGCTCCAAAATTTCAAAAGTAGTTTTTTTAATTTTGAAAAATATGTATTTTAAAATATTGTTTGAGTTATCACACACATATAACAAACAAAATATTGCCTTGTAATGTGATTTTAGAGGGAAAAAATACACTAAAGAAAATGTTTGTTACTTGCTACAAAATTTCAAAGGTAGTTATATTGATTATGAAAAATATGTTTTTTAAAATATTGTATGAGTTATCACAAACATAACAAACAAAATATTGCCTTTTAATTTGATTATTTGCTGTAAGATTTTGATTTTTTATTTAATTTAAAAATATATATTATAAAATATTGCATCAATTCAGGTAAAATTGTTGTTTGTGAAACCAATTTCTTTATTGTTACACTGTCTTTATTGAAAATAAATGTAGTTTGATAACTGTAATCATTACAAACGCAGAACAAATAAAATAATGTCTTGTAATTTAATTTTAGAGGTTAAAAAAAAAATACACTAATAAAGTATGTGTTACTTGCTCTAGGATTTTGAAATGATTTTATTATTAATTTAGAAAAATACATATTTTAAAATATTGCATGAGATTACACAAAAGTGTTTGTTAGTGAATCTAGTTTGCTAGAACAATTTATTCATTGGTAATAAATGTAGCTTAATAATTCAAATTTTTACAAACATAAAACTAACAAAAAATCGCCTTTAAATTATATTTGCCACAAAATAATGTGTTGATGAAAATTTATTAATTGCTCCTGTGTTTTAAATAGTTTCTTATTAATTTAGGAACATTCTGTTTGAAAAATTTATTTAGCTTGATTAATAAATTATTACTAATTTTTAACAATTAGACATATAATCCTTTATTTTTTTTTTAATAAAATTAATTTCACTTACTATTAAATCATCAAAATATATAAATCTGAAGCTAATCTAAGCTCAAAGATTTTTTTGACCTATAATTATTATTATTATTTAATATTTCAATGATGTGAAACGTGACATTATTGAATTAAAAAAAAGTTATTGTTCAGTTAAGTTTGAACCAAGTGGTTATTTTCTTATTCACAGTTTTAAGTTTCAGAAATCATAGTTTAATCATTATAAAGTTAAGAACGAATATGTTTTTTTTTAAAAAAAAGAACTTACTTCTTTTCTTGCTGAGTGACTGTGAGTTAAAATGTTTTTTTCCCTCACATTTTTAAGCAAATGTTGTAATATAATTACAATACATTTTAATTAACCTTTTCAAAGAATGAATTGCAAAATAATGACAATAATAAATTAATTGAGTATTGTTGATTGTTGTTTAACTTTTAAATTAGCCAGTTTATATGTTTATCAAAATTATGTATGTTGTACAAGCACATTTACATTTATTTAGCACTAATGCAGTTTCTTATGTTGTATTCTTTTTATTTTTCACCAAAAGAAAAAAAAATCAAAAGTTGTATTAATTTATTTTTATTGTATATAAATTCTGATATAGAGTAAAAAGGAATGTAAAATGTAGACCAACAATTGTACCTCCTTTAACAGCAGTCTAAATGAAGCTATTATAAGGCCTTAGATCAATCATTTTTTTTTCCCTTCAAAACCTGTGGTATGTCATGAAGGTGGTGTGTGTGAAGATGATAAATTGAAATTAAATAAATAAACTGAAAATAAAAATTGTATCATATATAATTGATTTCATTTTATTTGCTTCATAAGAAAAAAACACAGAGAAACCTAGAGAGACATGTGAATTTTCTCTTTTACCGAATCCAAGGTGTTCTACAGGGTGCGTAGCGTTTTTAAAAAGTGCTTAAAGGTACTTATTTTCGTTTTTTAAAATCCCTTAAAGGTGCGTTTTTCATTGGGTGTTTTTAAAAAGTGCTTATTCCCTTTTCCAAAATGAGATTTTTCCTTTACAATGATGTTTTTCGCTACGAATTATGCAGAAAGACATTGTTCTTTTCAACGTTTTCACAATTAATTCAACCCCAATCTATTTCGGCGTATCGTCAGTCCGTAGCGTATGAAAACGCCATTCGTTTTACATGATTCAAAAATTTTGACAATTGTCAAAAACAATGCCTAAAGGTTCTTTTTTTTTTGACATGATGGTTATAACGAGATAAAACCGGCAATTGTCAAAAACTTTACAATCCCACCTAATTGTGATTTTTTTTTAAAGTGCTTATAATCGTATTAATTGTAAATCCAAAAATGAGATTTATCCTTTACCATGTTGATTTTTGCTACGAATTATGCAAAAGGACACAGTTCACATTGTTCTATTCAATTTCACAATTAATTCAACGCCAATCAATTCGGCGTATTGTCAGTCCGTAGCGTATGAAAACGCCATTCGTTTTACATGATTCAAAATTTCATGATTTTTAGCAATTTTCAAAAACAATGCCAAAAGGTGTTTTTTTTTTTTTTTGTAGGTACGACGATTAAAACCAGATAAAACCGTTAATTGTCAAAAACTTTCCAACCCTGCCTGACTATGATAGTTTTTTGAAGTGCTTAAAAATATTTTTTGAGTGCTTGAAAAGTCCTTAAAAGGTGCTTATTTTTTGTTGAATAATTTGGGTACGCCCCCTGTATAGATATATATGCATGTACAGTCCTTGGCCAAATTATTAGACGTACTATAAGATTCTATGTAAAATCTTAATTATCAGGTGAGATGATACTCTACAGCTTTANACCCTGTCTGACTATGATAGTTTTTTGAAGTGCTTAAAAATATTTTTTGAGTGCTTGAAAAGTCCTTAAAAGGTGCTTATTTTTTGTTGAATAATTTGGGTACGCCCCCTGTATAGATATATATATATATATATATATGCATGTACAGTCCCTGGCCAAATTATTAGACGCACTATAAGATTCTATGTTAAATCTTAATTACTCAGGTGATACTACACAGCTTTATTGTATTTACGCGACTGAAACCGGTTTGCACTCGTTTACGTTCGTGTATCAATGGGTTAAATTATACGATATATTGTATAAATATAGAATATTTATTATATTAGTATATTATAATAATTATACCAAATTATTAGACGCACTGTAGTTTTTTAATAATTAATGCTTTGCACTAGTATATGCAATACTATTATATTTAGACATACAAGTAATTAGTTTTTATTCAGGAGATTTTTTAAATACTTCCTATTTGTATTTATTTTTAACGTATTGCATAACAATATTAACCAATTGATACACGAACATAAACAAGTGTAAACCGGTTTCAGCCGCGTAAAAACAGTAATGCTGCACCTGATAATTAAGATTTTACATAGAATCTTATAGGTACCAAGCCTAGGCTTGAACCTGTGACTTTCTGGATCACCGAAAAGCCTCAACAGTAGCTGCTGTAATCGATCCCGCTACTCTTACGCTTATACCTGCGATAAAGAAAAGAAAAATAACTAGTAGCACATTAGACACCTGAAAATGGTGAACCGTTATTTAACTGGCTAACTCATTGAGAAAGGTTAGCCATTTTTTTCCAGATTCCGATCCCGCTATCTTCATCAAAACTATTGGCGAGGGGACAATACAACATGTTTGTTGCAGCAAAGCATGATTAGTTGTTGTAAGTTCATTTAAGTCGCACTAGAGCTGCACAATGGGCTATTGGCGACGGTCTGGGAAACATCCCTGAGGATGATCCGAAGACATGCCATCACAATTTTGCTCTTCTGCAGAGGGGATAACACCCCCGTTTCGGTAGCCTGACGACCTGCACGCGAAGTCGAGCATTTTACGGTAGAACAGTTTATCGAGGACCAATCCCGATTGCCCTCGGTCCCTACGCAGACTAATCCAAGTGGTCACCCACCCGCGCACTTGACTTCGGTGATTTTCTGGGAACCGTGCCTTAACGATCAGTCCACTGCGGGACCAAAGCATGGTTAGATAGTCAAAGTATATATTTATTTATTGAATATTTTCAATAGAGCAGTACAGATAGTTCCATTCCAAATGATTTAAACTCGTTGCCGTTCGTTAAGTTACAATTGGTCTTCAATCGATTAAACTTAAAAGAGTTTGAACTTGTACAAAATTTCTTTTGGCATTCTCTTGGATGGTCCCAGTATTTGTTTTTCATGTGAAGGAATTGCAATTTTACACCTTTTTGCTGTTTTTTTCGCAACAATCTAGTTAGATTTTTTGTTTTATACTATCTTAAAGAAAGAAATGCAGAACTCCAGATGCAGTTATATTTAATTAGATCAGTATTAAACTAACTGAAGTGTGTTTTAAATAATCTTAAGAACAGAATTACAGAAAAAAGAAACGTTAGTTGAAGTTCTATGCTCTTACAGTGAAAATATATGGTAAGTGATTCATGTATGTTCTGTTTTTAATTTAGTTAAATATTTTGTTAGAGAAAAACCAATTTTGAAACAAATCATTTACCGTTTTCCATTAAATTAATATATTTTCTTATATAAATTGTTCTGTTAGAAATATTTAGCATTTCAAAGATTTCTGCCTAATAATAAAAGTGATAAACTTTAGCAATTTTGAATCGATTAAATGCAAAATGTTTGAAGAATAAATTAGATATGAATATTAGAAATACTTCTTGAACTATTAATTTAGGCGAGGATAAATATTTAGAAAGATGCGCAAATAACTGGTCAATTAAGCAAGTTGTTTTCTTTGCCGAGATCAATAAACTGGAGAATACAACCTAAAATCAATATTGAAAATATACTTTCCAATAATTAGGGCTTGTAGAAATTGGAGACGAAATTGTTTATTTAAAATTAATCAAAATTCAATTAGTGACGAAAACCAATTTTTATTGTAATAAGCAGGAAGTTTTCATGGGACAACAT